TCAGTATAATTTCCGTTAACATGAATTTACGTCAGTCAGGTTTGCTTAATTCAAGGTATCTGTATTTCTACTAAATGCTCGAATCACTAATTTGCAATTTCTAGTTTTTAAATTTATTCGTTATCTGAATCCAGTTTAACTCTGTACCCATATTATCAATCTGTCTTGTACAAATATGATTTTTCTTTTATTCGCTACTAGAAGAATTCGCTACTTGGATTCGCTGCCTTTGTTTGGACCTGGGGGTACCCTACATGGTCCTCTTATTCATTCCAGCAGCTTGACGACGTACTGTGGGGAATGAAGAAAAACCAAAGCACAGGTTGGGTTATAGAGCAGAGGAAGGCAATGTTTTGTTCTTATAGACTCTACGGGAGCCTGAGGACTGTCAAAAACCCTAAAATGGTCGCTAAAGTTTGTGGTTTTGCGCTTACTTTCAGCGAAAATCTGTCAGAATGATACTCTATATAATGACTCACCATAAAATTTGTGCACGGTTTGAATTTGAGCATCAACAGCTGTCGCCTCTGACGAAAACGTCACATACAGATCTCTGATATTATATTACTCCTCGAAGCACATTGCTATAAGTTAAAAAGGAAAGTTAAAATATTGATCTTCCTTGCACTTACATAAAGCGTCAAAGCTGGCGCCTTTCTGTTCATGAAGTTTAGTGGTGGGGCACTGATCGTCATTTCCATAAATGATTTATTTTTTTAAAGGCGTAGTCGACAGCAGCTCTATGACGCACGTACTGTAGTGTCCTGATTAATTCGCACAGAGTGGTACTAATCTCTCCATCCCTTAAGGAGGAAAGGCGAGTGATCCTGTCCATGCCTCGAACCCGAGACTTTTCAGTTCAACAATCTACTGACTGAGCAGTCTTGGTCGTCACATTGTTATAATAAAGAGTAGCTCAATCTGTCTATGGACGAAGAACTTTACTATCACAAAAAATCATGAAACCTGAAGTCGACGTATACTTTAGTGACTCAGAAATCATCAGTTGCAAGTATCTTTGCAGTTCTGTTTGAATATTTGCCTTAAAATTTACTGCCACCTCTGTTACTAATCAGTCAGTGATTTTACTTCCATAACAGTGAGTTACGATGATCATTTGCCAGATGGGTTTCTTCTACCTAGACTTTTTTATTACTGATTTTTGCTTTTCTCTTGGTTAGTAAGCCGTTATAGCACCTTCAGCGGAGCATGGAACTTGCATTTAAAGTGATATTGGAGACTTCCTCCTTTTGGTTCATCTCTTATGACTCATCGGTCATTTAAAAAGAAGGAACGAGGGAATTCCTCACTCTGCCTGCAAAGTGACCTTCACAAACAGAACATTCCTATGTGACGTATTGAAGCGGAGATAAACCGCATTACTTCCATGAAAAATGGGCTACACAGACGGTGATTACCGTGAAAGACTAAGGCAAACTAACTTCTCTACCTTTTTTTTTCAAGTACCTTAGAAATTTTAAATTGTTTGTTTAATCTTTATTTAGGAGTATTAGTGATGAGGAAGAGTTGCGACTAAGGTTAAAGTTCTTTTTCATGAATCCTGTTGAAAAGTACTTTGTGCGACGTCGAGTACCCTGGAAGTTGCTGCTGCAGGTGTTGAAGATTGTGTTCGTCACGATTCAGGTATGTTCATGATCTTCATATCGATGACTTCTCAGATAGTACTCTTCCTTTTCCAGCTGATCGTTTTTGGTAGAATGCGCATGGGTCATGTGATATTTATGGACGAAGCTGACACCACTCTGCGACACATTTTTTTCAGTGAATGGAGTTCCGATCGCGACATTCGATCGTACCCGCCTGGCAGCGGCCCGTATTCGGTGTACACCGTTGATCAGCTGTACGAGCAGCTTTCATACGCCATACAGAAGGTGATTGTTTTAACGAATGGATGTCACGTAACAGTCTGCTACTGCGTTATGGTTACGTGGGTCTATCACTCTATTGTCCCGCGACCCGAAATGAGTAGGAACTTCAAAAATAGATGGTTTGACTGCTCACTGATTGATGTTTGTCGCTGCTTTTTCGTATGGATTCACAGTAACCATGATAATGGACAATATCAACCTGCTTTAAAATCGCTTGTATTTTTTTTATTCCCACTCATTCTTCTCGTAACCCACGACCTTTGCTGTATTGTGGCGATAACAGCTTCAATAAGTTTCTGCAGACGGTCCTGTTCTGTCGTCAATGAAGCGAGCTCTACGACATAGATTCTAAGCTGCAGCAATAACAGTAGGTGTTCGCCGTATCTGAGCCAGTGGTTTCCGTTCTGCATGATGACCTGTCATATGATTTTGAGTGATTCTTTTCTGGTATCTAGAGGGTATACTCATCCCTAGATTTACAGAAAAGCAGCTGGCGATCAAGAATTTTTCAAAAATTGAATCCGAAGGATTCTTCTCATTGCTACTAGTCTTTCGGAACTGAAAGATAAATGACTTCAGTGAGTCTTTTGCTTGCTGCATTTTTAATTTATGCAAGTATTGTAACCATTTACGCAGTTTTTCAGTGGTCGTCACTTATTCGTCCCACCTTTGTTTTCTGCTCAGTAATAAAGCTTCGTGTTTGTTACGTTACACAGACATCTGTATCTATTTTTGTCAAGAGGTCAGCTAATGTATATGAAGGACGTATATTTTTATAATATACGACTCCCTCATTTAGTTCTGTTAGATTAAGGGTCCAGTCATTCGTTGATCTAAAGATTTTTGTTTAATACAGTCAGTGTATTCCAGCTTAACTTATCATTTTGCTCTTTTTTTTTAAAACGCTCGACTGGCATTTTTGTAATATCTGGAATTTGATAAGACTATCTTTCTGAGTCCGCATTCTTTTCAATTTTTAGAATTCGATGCAATCCCATAAACTTGCCACCATTTAACGGAAGGAAAAAGAAATTTTGCAACTTTCTTCCATTTTCATAATTGGACTTTTCTGCACTTTTTTTCAGTAAGCTAGTTGTAGGGCGTTGATCGCCATTTAATTGCCGTCAGCCTTGTTTTCAAGGCAGAGTCAACAGCAGCTGCGTGGCAGCATAGTGAAATGGTCATTTATCAGCCTCGAGAAGAAGAAAGGCGAGTAGCCTGGCCGGGATTTGACTGGGACCTTTCTGTTTTAAGTCCAAAGCTCTTTCGACTGAACAACTTGAGATACTCTCTGACAACTAGTACTGTATTTTTTCCGTGGCCTATGTTGGAATGACCGAATGGAATGCAGAATGTCTGTTAAATGCAATATCAATCTAAGGTCATGTCAGTATTGGTTATACTACAGAATAAATGGCTATCTGACTCTGAAGAAAAATGTAGATAGCCTAATGACTCTGTAGATGAAACCGATGGCTAGAAGATCTTACCTGACGATTCTTTCTTTTTCAAGGAGATCGAACTTGCACGTTGAGCATCGTCACTTAGTGGAAAGGAATGTCAGTATTCGCTGTATGGCAGTGACAGCCGTTTAATTTTGAAATTGACGTAAATTGACTTATTGTTTCTGTGAGGGTGATGCTTCTATATAGTTACAGACATACATATGATATCTCTCAGTGGTTAGGTTTAGCGGCCCATATTATGCAGATATTGTACCCTTGCAGATGGACTTAAAAAATCATTAAATTTATCACTTCCCCCGCTCGAACTCGACGTTAGGTTACTTTGTGCCAGATAGCAGCAAAGAGTATCTGATACATTTTATCATCATTGTCTATGTGTGGTTCAATATCCTGGCTAAGCAATGAATCGAATGACGCTAGTTTCAGATTTTCTCAACATCCTTAGACTAGCGTGGCATAAACAAAACACTTCTGATGGCCGTTGTATTTTTAACTCAGTTACTTGCCCGTACTCTATTTTAGTATTATGTCATAAACTCCACGTCGTTTGGCAATTACGAATACGATTACAACGATGAAAACGACAACAACGAATTTCCGGCACAAAAACTGTGCATCGTGCAATACAGCCATGGCGAACGATTTCTTCCTAATAACAGCTACTTTTTCGACACTCGGTTGACGAAAAGTATCTTTTAATGCTGTTTGAGGTTCACATTCTGATTATGTTTTCGATAGCCATTTCGTTTAAGATTGCACACCAATTAAGCTGGACAAGAAAGACCGGGAATCGAAAACATTTTCAATTGTGCCATTCCTTGAGAAAATAAATATGACTTTGGATCTCAGCAGGTACAGGATTTATTCTAATGTTTCTACCAGTTTTGTATTTTCAAAATTTGAAACTGAATATTTGTGAATATTTTATGATATGAATATTTATTTCTTTATGTTACATTTTATCAGTAAGAATATTGTGTTTGTATCTGTAAGAAGACGTCCGCGCACTCAACTGCCTGATCATGAAGAAATTAAATAGAAGATTGATGGTCGGAAAATGACAAATTTTGGCTGTCGAAGCAGACTCATTACGCACAGACAGAAAATTCTAAGGGGAGTGGAAGATTATTATTGAAAATAGTACGAAGATGAAAGCAATAACAGCTTTGGAGATGGTGATGAGCCTGACGAAAGAAATGAATTTGATGAAATTCCAGACATATTGCTAGAATAAGTGCGACATGCAACAAGACAGTCAAAACTTGGAAAGGCTCAGGGCAGTGACGGCGTTACAGTTGAACTTGTGAAATCAGAAGATGAAGCATTTACCAAGGTATTAGCGCTCATGTTTTCACATTCTCTGAAGGAACCTAAAATCTGAGACGATTGGGCTACCGCAACTGTGATTCTACTACAGAAAAAATGGAGACAGATTATTTGAAGAACTACTGACCAATTAGTTTCTTGCCAGTCATCTACAAGAACTCAGGGGTATTGACAAGCAGACTTCAAAAAAAATTGGACGCCACACGGCCAAAGTAACAAGCAGCATTAAAATGTGACTTTAGTAGGATCACAACCTGTAGATGCTACGACAAGCAGTTCAAACGAGCAACAAATATCAGCTTCTCTGCTTGGGGTTCTTCAATTTTCAGAAAGCCTTCGACTCAGTTTACATCCATACATCCTTGAGGAGCTAGGGAATCGAGAAAAGGTCACGGAGACCTTATCGCTATGATTTACAAGAATCTGACTACTATTGTAGGTTAAGAAAGCCACAAGCTAATTCGAAATCGAAAAGACCTGATAAGGGTGCAGTATATAGGCGCAGTATCATACCACAGCAGCTCTAGAGGATATTTTCATGATACGCTGGATCAAGATGGATAAAAATGGAAGAAAGTAGAATCTAAGGCAAGGGTCTTTGAGAGACCTTCATCCAGCACTAGTTCAACAAAGGACAATGGTCTGTAAGATGCAGGTATAGCTTTGAACGGTCGTGCAAAGACGCCAGT